GCAAGACAAATAAATTCTTTAAAAATCATACAGTGTGATTTCCTGAAATTTTTTTTTAATTCTGTCTCTCAGCATGGGAATGCACCTACAATGTGAATTTCAGACCCCTCCGTGATTTCTAAGTGGGAGAACTTGCAAAATCGCAGGGTGTTCAAATACTTCTGTTCCTCATTGTAAGTCATGTATGATTCTTAAATGCCTTATCCTGTGTGTTAAATGTTTGATTGTATTTACTAGGTGGATATAGGATAAAGGAGGAGGTGGTTAATCACTTCCTCATTCTGTACGCTCTCTGATGTCATCAAGGATGTCATAGGGTTGATTGATACCAGGGGCTATTTAATCAGCTCAGATGGAGCAGCTGGGTGGGTGGCAGTCCAAGTGTAACTGTGTGCACGTGCCTGTGAGTTGCGTTGAGTTATTTTGAGTTGAGTTTTCTTCAGTTATGTGAAGTTAACCATTTAGTTTTAGTGATTTTGTTTTGGCATGTGTACTTTGCTGGCACATGTTTAAAATAAATTATTGATTTGAGAAAACCTGATGTATTTTTCGAGTCTGTCTCCTACATTCCTGGCCGCTCAGATTCAACCTACCACAATAAATATTTTTACATTTTCATACTTGGATTTAAAAAAATTTTGTTTTTTACATTCACCCTTCATATTCCTCATTATGTACTAATTTGCAGTTATTCAATTAAAAACCAGGTGCTCGTCTGATCTGTTCAGTTATCGCTGCTGATCGTACAGACGTATGAACCAATCAGAAAGGGGGAGGATGAAGGAGAGAGGGGCCAACCAGAGTGTTTCCACGGTGACTGGGTGTCTGCGATGCCACTCAGGGGCCAGAGGTCGCTCACGGGCCGGTCCATCTGCCACGCTGCGTCTAGATGGAGCCAATCAAGGGAGAGAGGCCAAGAAAAGAGGACCAATCAGAGGAAGGGACAGAGAGGTCAGGTGAAGCGGGGTTGTACTGTTTGTCACTTATGAGCCTCTGTAGGAAACTGCTGTCGGGATTTAAAGGCATTTCCACAGTCATCTGATTTTTCATCATTTTATCGTCTCTGTGAACCCAGTGTCTTCATAGAAGGATCCAGGACTGGTCTACAAGTTCCTCTGTGCCCATGAGCTCCACTGTGTCCACAAGCTTTTGAAAGGTGAATCCTAATTCTCTTACTTCATTGTTCCTCACTCGACCCAGAAGTCGTTGCAGTTTGCCATATTCAAGGACGTCCGAAATCTCTTATTCCTGCTCTAAGGAGCCGTGAGCAAAGACACGAGAGCGTCCTTCACAGAAGTCTGTTATGGGCCAACACGTGGGCGGGGCTAAGTCACAAGTGAGGGAGATGTGGATGCCACAAAGAGAATTGGTATTCATCTACACTGTAGTTTTGACTCAGTCCCACAAACACTGTTCTGCTGCCACAAATACTAGACATGAGCTGTGGATTCATCAGCCACTGAAAGTAGTCCCCACCACATACACCGTTTCCTCCTGTCTGATTCTATTGTGGATCCGATTTCTGGTCTGCCAAATATCCAGATTCATTGAGCTCCGACAGTAAGAAACCTTATATTGAACATTTTCTCTTTTTAGTTATTTGTTACAAATTAACATTAAAACCTATAAAGGTTTGTTTTTAATGTCTCAGCTTAACAGATACGGGCATGTGGCAGACCAGGAACTGGATCCGAACTGGAGGACTGTCAGGGATTGTTTTCGGTGGCGGATGAATCCACATTTGGTTTCTGGTCAGTATTGGTGGCAGCAGGACAGTGTGTGTGGAACTGGCTCAGACTAAACTCCAGTGTGTGTGTTCATGGTGGTGGAGGAACATGTCAGCCAGTGCAGCAGTGTGGTCACTGCTGGGTTTACTGGTGTCTGGACACAGTGGCGCTCTGTGGCTCAGAGGGAGGAGGGACATCAACAGACTTACACTGTAGCGCCCCAGGAGACAGAATGTCCTCGTCCATGTCGTCAAGATCATCAGACAGGAGGAGGTGCTGCGGGGCCGGAGGTCGCAGGCCCAGGAAGGACGGGTCCAGGTTGAGGGCAGCAGCCAGCGCTCCCAGACCCGGGTTGTTGACCAAACAGAAACCTGTCAGAGACTCCATCTGCTGCCAACGGTGCAGCTTCTCCCGCAGGGCCGCCGTCACCTCAGCCAGGGCCTGTCTGAGGAGCAGGGGCAGAGGGTAAGTATACTCACTGCAGTACTGTCTGAGAGGTACTTGTTCTTTAGTAGAGTGGTTCCAAATTATGCTGCATTGTACTTTTACTCCACAACAAATCAAACAGAAGTATTGTCCTTTTTACTGCACTGCATTCTGTGGTGGAAGAAGCAGTACCCAAATCCTTTACTGGAGTAAAAGAAATACCAGCGTAAAAATACTCTGTTACAAGTAAATGTCCCACATTCAAATTGTTACTGAAGTAGAAGTGGAACAGTATTGGCACCAAAATATCCCTGAAGTACCAAAGTAACAGTTGTTACATAGTATTGGATCATAGTGATGCGTTACTGTGTTCATCCCTTTAATGCTGCAGCTGGTAAAGGTGGAGCTGATGTTAACTACCTTATATACTTATACTGTGAAGTACTTTCCATGCTGCTGGGTAGCAGGTGGATTTCCCACCGAGTTCAATAGAGTCTGATGATTCTACTGGGTTTGGTTTGATTCATCCGATTCTGGAAAGGAACTGAAGTTATCGGGTACATGTAGTGCAGTAAAAAGTACATGGTTTGTCTCTGACATGGAGTGAAGTCACAGTATGAAGTAACAGGATGTGGAAATACTCAGGTACATGTAGCGAGAGCTGGAAAAAAAGGCAAGTACCTTCACTGAAGTACTGTACCTAAGTACAGTTTTGAAGAATTGGTACTTTAGTTGAGTATTTCCATTCTCTGCTACTTCACTGTGCCCATTCTGAAGGACAGACTCTCCTATGGTGGTGCAGAGGAGCCAAGTACATTTACTTCAGTACTTCAGAATAGTTTTGAGGTATTTGTGCTGAACAGTTATGTGATATCACATGTGATATGGCCTCAGATTTGCCAGGTGACACTCAGGAGGCTCTTAACCTTAATCTGAAGAGTAACTCCTGCTGTCAGATCCATGTAGAGAAAAGAACAGTGTTCCCATCTTTAACGTAGTCAAGTCTAAAGTACAAGTACCTCAAAACCATCCTGGAGTAAAAGTGACCAGTTCTGACTGCTCAACAGTTTAACCTGCAGAATGTGTCCATGTCCCTTTGTGCTGTGCACTCAGGGTCAAACGTGACTCACTTGGCAGAGAGGATCTTGTGGTCGACGGCGTCCAGCGAGGAGCTGTGAGCCACGTGAAATGTCCCAAACAGAGAGCTCCTCTTCTTCTTGATCTTCTCTGCCTGGAACACCACCATCATCATCATTACTATCAGTCAGTGCTGTAAGTTCAAACTCCCAATTAGACCTCCATTGTTGTCCACCAGCTATTAAACCGCCCAACCCCCCCAGTGAGCCACGCTGCCGCACTGGGGGACAGGTTTCCTCCTCAGGAAAAGGGTTTTCAACAAACTGCTCTGCTCTGCTCACACTGCTCCACCAGCTTCTGCACACAACAAGGTGTTGGAAACAGACGGGCCTCATATTTCCTGAGGAAGAAACTTGCTCGCCATGGCGGTGTGGCTCACTGGGCTGTGCTTAAAGGACAACTTCACTTTGTTTTAACTTGCTGTATTTCCCCTAAAAGAGTGAATGGTGACTGTGGAGCCAGCGCTAATGTCACCATCTGCCTCTGTTGTAGAGATTCAGGAAACTAAAAGTCACATTAACTGGCATCACCAGGGCGCAACGGGCTAGCCTTACAGAGAACTCGGAGTCAAAGCAACATACAGTAAATCCCCGGGTGAACTGGTTGGCTGACCTGATGCCCGGGTGATCGGACGATCACCCTCTGCAGTCAGCTGTAATCGCTGCCTTCAAGAAATCAGTGTGAGATAACTCTGAGCTCTCAGGCTAGCCCGTTGTCCTGGTAATGCTGTTTAATGTGACTTTTAGTTTCTGAATCTGTACAACAGGAACAGCGACATTAGTGCCAGCTCCGGAGTCACCATACACATTTGTACAGGGAAGAAAAAAAACTGCAGTTCTCCTCTGTAGCGCTCAGGCAGCAGTGCAAGTGTCAACAGGAGTTTGGTGCTATGTAACACAGACACACAAAATGAGTGGCTGCAGGGTTCGAGTCTAGCAGTGGCTAAAGCAGTTTTGCAGCCTGCAGCGAGAGTGTGCGTGTCCTCACCCCCTCCCTGGCCTGCAGCAGCTGCCTCTCTGCGCTCTGCTTCTTGATGTTGTAGTACTGAACTTCGACCTCGTGCGTCAGCTGCAGCCATTTCTGCAGAGCCTCCGGCGGCGCCCAGCGACCCCGTGACTCCAGCTCCCTCTCCGCCTTCCTCAGCGCCACACGGACCTGCAGTACACACACAGACCCATCAGGACTGAACCCTTAGAGACTGCTCCATGTTTGCACTGACCTCTCCCTGGGTTTCTGCTGTAGATGGGCCTGTCATGACAAGGAGGGCAGGGACATCAATAAATTATACTGGTTAAATTGTCTTTGTTGTTTATTATTACTTACAGGAATTTATTATAACACATAAATCATGGCTGTGGAAACTTAAGACGTGTCTAATTACTAATGTCAGAGATTCAGTTGATGTCTGAACAGTGAAAATGTTTCTTTACAATCTAGAACGGCTCCGTATTAATACTGTGACTGACTACATGTCTCAGGCATCCGGCATTTTCCTTGTGTCTAGTGTCCTGGTACAGAGTGGACAACGGGAGGGGCCAGACGAGAGACCGGGGGTCAGGACTGCCTGATTTCTACACACGCAGTGTTTTGTTTTCCTGATGGGAACTAACAAAAAATTCAGTTTGGTGTGAAATAAATCAAAAAAAAAGAAAATCACGTCCCAGTGGAGAAACTCACTAAGGCTTCCAGTACTAATGAGAGTAGTTCTACTAGTTTTACAAAGTGCTCTACATGTACTGCAAGTTTTCATGGAGACAGAAAATGGCTCAGACCACACAAAGTTTGGTGCTTAGGGGAAATCCCAGCATCCCTTAATTGCATCCATGTTTCCCCCATTTGCAGCTTCTCCTTGTGTTTTAGTCCCACCCACATGAGAATGAGTAGAGAGGACTCGAGGGAAGAGACATGGCACGTCCTTTCCTCCCATCCTTTATCTGAAGTGTTCAGTCACCTGATTTCTGACAAAGGGGCGCATCGGTCCATGAGAGAAATTCTCGTGCAGCCTCGCTCGCGGCTCTTCCAGCAGCATTCTCGCTCTTCACAGCAGAAATCATGTGGTCAATCCCACTTCCCTTATTTGATCAATCCTTGAGCTTTGGGACAGCTAACTCAAAACTCTTCTTCCTGCTGCGAAGAGCCTGCTGGACAAGCCAGAAGAAGTCTTCGCAGAAGTCTGTTATGGACCGACACGCCACTTCATCAGAAATCAACTGTTGATTGAACAGATGAAGATGCAGATGAAGGATGAGAGGCAAGGATGCTCGAGTCCTCTCACCTCACTTTTACATTACATTACCTGGGATTCTCAGAGTCTTGGGACGTCCAGAATGACTTGCGGGTCGAACAAGGACTGATCTATTTAGGGACCTGGAATGTTCCCTCCACGTTTTCATGGCCTGACTCGAAGTGCGGCTGCAGCCTACCTGCTCCAGCTCCTCCTCGGCGTACTTCTGCCGGCTCCTCTCGTTCTCCGCCCCCTCTCGCAGCTCTCGGAGCCGCTGAGCCTCCTGTTTCGCCGAGTTGATCTCGTTCCTCAGCTCCTCCTCCACCTTCACCTTCTCCACTTGAACGCAGTGCTGCTCCTCCTGAGCCTGCTGCAACCTGACAGAGACAACAGTGTGTCAAAAAGCTCCCATGCCACACCAGCGCCTGAACACACCATTGCTGCTGCTCTCACTTCAGCATAAAGACAGAACTGTATGACTGTAGCACTTCAGTGGTAAAAAGGGATTGCATTAGTAGTAATATTATCATTACTATAATGTATTTTTACTGAAAAACGTTTGTTAAACTACAGTTGTTACTACTGCTGCCTCTGCCACACTACTGCTTTGACCACTAATGATACTTCTCAAATTGTTTGAGCTGTTACAACTACCACTACTGTCCTTCTACTATAACTCATTTTGTGCACTTTATAATTACACAAACTATGACTGAGATGCAGCTGCCAGGAGGAAGTAACTCGTCTACTGTGTGTGTGTGTGTGTGTGTGTGTCTGTGCATGCGCATGTGCAGGCTGAGCTGCTGACTGGTCTTTGCCCAAATAAGGCCGTCAGAGATTCTGCACACACTGACACACACACACACACAACACACACACACACATACATGCCCACATTTGTACCTGTATGTAGGTGGGTATGAATGTGGCTGAGTACTGTACATGTGTACATACAGAGTACTGTTCAGTATGGGGTCGCCTCCATTTTTCACTGTGACATGTAACCAGTTTGAGTCCAGTCAATGACCTTAAATGGTACAAAGCTGAGCAGTAAAGCACCAGAGGTTAAAGAAAAAAAGTCACCAAAAACCAAATCGTGTGTGAATGAGCCACAAACTGCTCCAGGCTGTGGAGGAGGAAAGACCAGGTGATTGACTGGCAGCACAGGGTCCAGAATGAAAGCAGAGCGGCTGACAGGTGCAACACATCTGTGGGAACATCTGCCCCAGCAGTGTTTGGTTTCAGTTGTAGAGAGAATGACACAGGTGTGTTCAGATCACACTGGTAACACCTGGACACATGGAGGTGACCCCGAACCTTTGATCAGTAGAGTAAATAAGTCAACCAGGGTGGTGCTAGACTCACTTCGCCTGCAGGTCCAGCAAGCTCTGCTCGGCCTTCTGCAGACCCTCCAGGTCCTTCATCAGCTTCCCTAGGTCATCTCTGGACCTCCTGGTCTGGACGTAGGCAAACCAGCAGCCACCCAAAGCCATCAGGATGGACACAGCCAGGACCGGGTCCTTCCACCAGCTCTGCCGCCCTGCGCACACACAGTGGATATACAGTACACAGATCCATGCATGCAAACAGATGTAATGTACACAAATGCATGCACACATACAGTATGGATGATGTACATGAAAAGTGAATGGGCCTGCCAGGCTCGGGTACAGGGCCCCGAGGGACCAGGGGGCCCTGAACCTGAGTATCTGTATGAAGTGACTGTGTCACCCAACAAGAAGTCGAGGCAAAATGAGTAAAAACAGCCACAAAGAGGCGTACAAGGATGAGCAAAACCACTTCATCCACAGAAACAAGCCTGGACAAACATACCTACAAAGTGACGTGAAGCAACAAAAACCCAGGCCCAGTGTCTCGTGATCCGTCCATGGTTATACACACACACAGAGTATTTACCTGTGTTTTGTTCAGACCAAGTCAAATGATAAAGGAACACACAGACACACCTGGCGGTGGCCCAAACAGCACGATGTCCAGAGCTTTGAGCTGCAGCTTCTGACCATGACTTCTGTCTACGATCTTCAGCACCGTCACCATCAGGGTGTAGTTCTTCACCGCCAGCCTGCTCACGAGGACACACAACCGATGAGCTACAGACAAGCTTCAGCGAGGAGACACACAAGAGCATCCTTTGCATTAGTCCTTTATGGTCTGACCCGCCCCTGTATCAGAAACCAGTAGGTGATTGGACGCTTCAGATGAAGGCTGGGAAGAAAGGGCATCTCGTGTTGTTAATAATGTTTCCTCGAGTCCTCTCTCCTCACGTTTTCCTTTCATCTTATGTGGGTGGGACTAAGACAGAAGGAAAAGTGAGGAAAACGACAACCCACATAAGACGAGTGTCAGCAGACTCCACAGGAAATGGGTGGAGGACACCCACGACAGCCTGACCCTGGAGGGCAAACTGGGGAAACCTGTATGTCAACACTACTAAGTGTCACGGCTGGTTAACTTGGGGTTATGACACAGAGCACGAGTTACAATGAACCCATTTTCAGAGGTGGGAGATGGGACATGTAGTTTCCAGGGCCCACCGTGCACAACCTACCCTGCAGTGTGGGTGTGCATTACCTGGGCAGGGCTCTGCCGTCCAGCTTCTGCCTCCTGAAGGTGTCCACATACTGAGGGAGCTCCACACTGAGCAGCAGCCACTCCTCCACCTGCTGCACTGTCCAGTTGTACACTGAAAGCACACACACCGTGAGTAAACCCCTGCTAGGTGAGGGTCAGCTCCTCCACCCTCAGCATCACAGCCACCCACAGACCCTCCTGCAAGCTGAGCACAGGTACTCCAGTACAGTTTGAGGCATCTCCACCTGAGTATTTCCATGTCCTGTTACTTCATACTGTGACTTCACTCCATGTCAGAGACAAACCGTGCACTTTTTACTGTACTACATGTACCTGACAACCTCAGTTCCTTTCTAGAATCAGATGAATCAAACCAAACCCAGTAGAACCATCAGACTATTGATCCCAGTGGGAAATCCACCAGCTACCCAGCAGGATGGAAAGTACTTCACAGTATAAGTATATAAGGTAGTTAACATCAGCTCCACCTTTACCACCTACAGCATTAAAGTGATGAACACGGTAATCCAATATGATAGACAATAATGTAAAATACTTTTACTTTGGCTACGTCGAGTATATTTTGGTGCCGATACTTTTTATTTAAATGCAGGACTTTTACTTGCAACAGAGTACTTCTACACTGTGGTACTGCTACTCTGAACTTGAACTTAAAGGAACTTAAGTGGTTTTACTTTTTATGCAGTTTTGGATTTTATCTAAAAATCTGTCTTCTTCATGTTTGTAGTTTCTTTCCCGTCCTCTCTGGGACAAATGGAGCTGAAAGATTAAGTGGATCTAAAAATAGGCTTTATTTTTATTCTCAGGATTCTCTGCACATCAGTCGCTGCTGCCCCAGGCTCAGCCCCCCCAACCCCCGTCTGTTTTCTTGCCTCATTTCCTGTCTTTTCTTCTTTCCTTCCTTTTTTCTGTCTTTTTCTTTACTTAACTTTCCTTTTATTCTTCTTGTCCTTTCTTTCTCTTTAATATTTTTCTTACTTTTGCTTTTTCTTCCCTCCTCTTATTTTTCTTCTTTCCTGGTCTCTCTTTTCCATCACTTCCTACTTTAATTCCTTCATCTGTTTTTGTCCTTCCCTCTTTCTTTCATCCCTTACTTTCCTTCTCTCCTCCCTATCATTTATATCCCTTTGTCTTCCGGCCTCCTGGAGTCTTCCTTCCTTCTTCCTCTCTCTGTCCCTCACCTTTTGTTGTCTTTCTCTTCTTCCTGTTTTTCATAATCAAAGCCTGACTTCTTTAAACCAGCTTGAACCTTAAATCTAATTTTTAATGGAGTTTGGTTCTCTGAGTGGGGAAGAGGATGGACCATGTAGTTTCATTTATGGGGTGACTAAAGGCTCAGGCAAATGCAGCATCTCATTGTGTTTTCTTCTGTTGAAACTCTCAAGCTGCTCAGTCTAAAAACTGAAAACCATCAGGAGACAAAGAGCCTGTGAATGTCAGCTGCTGTTCTCTCTGAGACACCTGGACTGGTTCACATTTAAACTAATTAAAAACTGTCATTGTCTGGCACCATTTTGATAATCCAACCATTGTATCGGTCCTTTTAAAACAAACTGTAAAGAAATGTGACATCTCTGCAGATTTCAGCAGCAGCTTTGCTTTGCTATTTCTTTGTCATCAGCCCTTTCTTCTTTGTAAACTGAGTATTTGGGAATGTTTCAGATTTCTGGTCCAATAAAACATCACATTACCAGCAGCAGACTGAGCAGCTACCATGGTGACAAGAGGTGATGAGATCCTTAGCAAACATCTACAACAGAGGCTGTGACTACCACATCCACATTTATTGGAAACACTCCCATCTTACCTTCGGAGCTCTTCCAGGCGTTCCACATGTCCTCCACGCTGATGTACAAGTCAGCCCGGTGGAAGCTGCTGTGCTTGGCTTTGCGGTCATTGTACTTCAGATCCTCCCTAAGAAACTGAGGAGGAGGACAAGTCATAAAACCTTCACTGGGTTTGTCTTTCAGTGTAATTGCTGTGTGAGCTGTGTCACGAGTCTCACCTCGTCCGTCTCAGTGGTGTCCACGGTGCCGTCAGCATCGTCGTCCATCAGCTTGTGGATGCTGCATATGGCTTCAAAGCTTAGCAGCGAGTTCTCATCATGGCAGAGTTGCTGGTCTATCACACACAGATCTGCCAACAGGAACACAGCAGACTCAGCAGTATTACCACCCCTGTTCAACATGGTCCACAAGGGGAGGGGCTCTGCTTTGTACAGAAAAGACCCGTGTGTGTGTGTGTGTGTGTGTGCGCGCACTCTGCAGCAGCAACTGCAACACTGTAACTAAGTACATTTACTCAGACTTTGTAGTCAAAGAGCAAGTACATGTACTTCAGGATGGATTACTACAGGGCACAGGCCCAGGGGCCCAAAAGATTGGGGGCCCCTGAACTTCACCTGCAAAATATCGAGACAAACACACATGTCCAACGAGCACAAAGAGAGGCAGTGTCCTCAGAGATCAGCACAAATATCAACACAGGTGTCAAACACAGATCACCCATAAAGAGAGACACAACCGAACTACACAGCTACCTGGTCTGTGGTTGTGTCACCATGGGGGTCTTGCTGCTAGAGGAGGGCCGGGGTCTCTGACATGTCTCTGCCTGGGTGCCCCCTCTGCCACAGCCCATCAATTAATTGGATTATGCCCATTTTCTGCAGCTGTTTACGTCTATTCCGTCACTTCAGAAGCAAATAATGCCCTTTCTACTGCACTACACTGTGGTACTATGACTCTACTTACTACAAGTACCTGTTGCAGTACTGCAGAGCAGTGAGAGGACAAATGACCTGAATCAGACTGATAGGATCGATGTCAGTTCACTCAGACCAATGTGATATTTGGGTGATGGTAATTATGCTATGAAATACAGTCCAGGTGCCTTCCGCCTTCTCAGAATCCAAAACACCTCCGGTGAAACACAAGAACGTTGGAGCAGCTGTGAACATTCAGTCTGGCTGCAGCTTCTGTTTCTGCCAGAGACTCTGCTCCTCGAGCAAAAACAGCAACAGCACAGTAATCATCTATCATCTGCAGTTGCCATCTCTGCTTGGGACAAAGAACAGAGACACGTCACAGTTTTCTGCTTCAGTAAACTGGAGATACTGAGGTGAAAATGGTCCTGACTCGGTGGGATGTGACCACATGTTGGTCTGACTCAGTGTGATGTCCACCTCCTGAGCATCTCGTCACCTCTGATGTCATGCCACAACAAACCTCCATGAACCCAGAGAGAAACCAGAGGCTGCAGAACCTGCCTGAGAGTCCTCCTGTCTCTAGGTTTCTCTCAATGCTGCTGGTAACCAGTGCTGCTGCTAGTGATTTGTTTCATTATCACTTAATCTGATGATTATTTTCTAGATAGCTTATCAGATGTTTAAGAAGAAATAAAAACAGTGGCTGAGACTAAAACCAGGGCCTGGACTCATGCACAGTACAGTGAGGACACCACATTCACTGCTGCTGTTAGCCTCTGGATGGGGTTTGTGCACAATAACACAAACATACAGAATCTCTGGCTGCAGCCTTTAAAAAGTGCCAAAGATAAAAATAGATGCAGAGTAAACCTGCAAGCATGAAGCTGCGTGGAGCCGGAGCATGAGGGTTACATGGACCAGACAGCGTGTGCGGTCTGTGACAGATCAGTGGAGCCTCTGGGATTTACAGTGGTGCGGGAGGGACAGCGGATCTGTCTCCAATTACTGCAGTGTCTCTGCTCTTCCTGTGTGTCTCTGCAGGAAAGTTTCTGAGGAGTCTACTGTTTCTCTAAGACCACGTGCACACTCAGATCCCTCACACACCAACATAAGTAGGTGTAAAGCTCCGCCCCAGCCAGCAACACTAGCATCCTTATAGGGCTGTTGGCTGGTGCGGTACCTGATTTTGTTAAACCTATTCCACCTATAGTCCCTTCAGCCTAGACAGTCTGAGTCAAAACTGACATCATAAACTGCTCCTTCCTACTCTCTGCCCTTCCTGTCCTGTTCCCTGAAGCTATGACGTAAACTACGGATGCCTGGTTGGGACAAACTATACAAAATGCAGCCTCCAGTCTGAAGCTAGCGTTAGCTGGCTAACAGTAAACATGTCAGTCCAGCAGAACACTCTGGGTACTGCTGATGTGACACAAAGCTCCAGTTACGAGACCAAGGGAGGTAGAGAGAGTCAAAGTCACCGGCTGAACATCAGCTCAGTCTAAGCACAGCAGGAAACCTTCACATCCCATCATGCACTTGGTCCAGTTTCCTCTTTTATATCGGACTTCTGTTTCAGAAGTAGGGAGGCTTCAAACAGACCCCCTAGTCTCGTCTGCATCATTGTTGTTGTCGCTACTATTATTATGGCAGCAGTAGTGACCTACTCCAGTGGTGACTGAGTGTGTGTCAACACAGAGGGCAGGGCTGTTTCTGTGCTGCCACACTTGTCTGTTCCGTCCCTGACAGTCTCATGTTGTGCTGTATGTAAATATCAGATGGCGATGGCAGCATCACACCTTTTATTCCTTTTTCCCCACAGTCTGTTTCTAAACCTGCAACTGACCAATCAGAAGCGTCTGTCCTCATCTCCACTTCCTGTCCACGATGAGGCTGCGTGGGCGGAGCTGAATGTTTCACCAAAACTAGTCTATTTCTGTCACTTCCTGTGCCATGAACAATGTGTCATCTCCAGGAAGTTGTGGTGAGCTGCTAACGGCTAGCTCCCACACTATCGCTACTGCACAGCTCTGCTGCAACACACACACGGTGTTGACATACTGAACAGGAGGGGAGTTCAGACTGGAGCAGGAAGTCATCAGCTGACACAGGGCGAAAAGAAGGATCTCACACTTATTAGCATCCTGGATGATCAGTGTCAGCCAGACACAGACCCGTCCCCAGGAAGTCAAGCACAGAGAGCCCCCGTCAGTCTTGGGGTCTGGTCTGCTGTGGTGGAGGCTCTTACACGTCTGTGTCCAGGGGCCCGTTGTCTCCTGGTCTGTCTAAGTCTGCAGGAGACCTGGACTTACACACGGCAGCTGTTCACGGACAGGGTTTCACTTTTACAGAGAACAAACACTGTGACTACAGATCAGGTTCGGTTTGTTACTGACACACACACATTTTGACATCTTTACATCCCAGTCTGAGCCTGGACCACATGCTGCTACACGGAGATTCCACGGCCTCTGTGTAAAAACACAGAGAGGAAAAACAGACTTCTTCCTTTCTCAGGAACAAAGTGTGTATTTCTCACATTGCTGAGAGTCGAATGTTGGCCAGGAGTCCTCACAGTGATCCACTGTCTGTGCACATGTGGCCACTGTGCAATGCTCAGTCTGCTGCTGCCAAGTCAACTACTGAAACTAAAACATACTGACTTCAGACATGAGGAAGATGAGCAGCAAATCTTCACATACGAGAAGGTGCGAGCAGAAAATAAATTTGTCTCTTTGTCAAAAATGACAAAAACTCTGGTATCAAGTTATATGCAGAACGTTTTCTTTTGATCACTGCAGCTCCACTTTCAGTCTGACTGAATGTGACCAGATCCACAGGTGAACCTGTTCTTCTTTTTCAATTAACAACAAATCTAAAAAAGCTGGCCCCCCCCCCCCCCCACACACACACACACACACAGAGGAGTGTCTCCTACCTGAGGCTGCGTTGCCGTTGGAAACCAGATGATGGTGGTCCAGGTGGGTGTAGTCACTGCTCTCCAGTCCGCCCTGAGCCCTGACACACACGCTCAGCACACACAGCAGCCACACACACTCCATGTCTGAGGACAGAGAGGGACGTGAAACATCAGAGGCTCATTTCACTAATGAAAACTGGGACCAAATATTTACACTTTGTTCAGCTCTTTTCCACGAGACAAAACTGATGTCAGCACACAGTAACGGAGCCAGAAACTGCTGATTTGAAACCTGATTTATTATTCTGACAAACATGCAACTTGGCTCTTCAGATTTATGTTAGTCAACTAAAACATTTGTCTAGTTTTCTCCATTGTCGATGTTGATCCTATAAATATTGCTGCCTGTCTCCATCTTTGCTGTGCACAGTCACCGTGGTTACAGGTGTGTGTCTGTCCCTGTGCTCCCACTTAGACTAAAGCCTGTTCACTGGTTCAGCCCGAGAGGAGAAGCCAGGCAATGGGAGAGCACGAACACAGTGTGGTTTGTTTAGCCGACATCCAGATCGGGCCTAAAGTAAAGACCTGAAAACCATTTCAAGTGACAGTTTTTCCAACCAGTGCCATGATCTCAGATGTCCTTCCTTCACCAGGTTCCTGCGTGTCCAAGGCATCGTGCACCCTGGGTGCCATCAGTGTTAGCCTGGCGCAGATCATGAAACAGCGGGCCCCTGGGCACCAACATGTAAAAGGCCCCCATCCACCTCTAAGAGCGAGACTGTACAATCTCCAGTCAGTCTGTGTCTCCTGGCAGCTTGTTGTGTCTGTGTTTAGCTGAATTAAGAGCCTCTCTACCCGCAAGGCTCACACGGTGCTGCAGCGATGAGACGCCTCATGTGAAGGAGGGCGACTGCACACACACTTGTCTGTCTGTCTGGTTTCAGCCTCTTGTCTCCATTTATACTTGTGTTGCATTGGTTTGTATTCACTGTGCATCTAGTTTTACTCGTGTCTCTATTTTGCATCTCGTTGTAGTTGTCTCTGTTGTTTTGTATATTTTTGTAGTTCACTGTCTTTGTGGTTGACTCCTGTGTTGTTTTTTGGCTCATATGTCTGTCTGGTTTCAGCCTCTTGTCTCCATTTATACTTGTGTTGCATTGGTTTGTATTCACTGTGCATCTAGTTTTACTCGTGTCTCTATTTTGCATCTCATTGTAGTTGTCTCTGTTGTTTTGTATATTTTTGTAGTTCACTGTCATTGTGGTCGACTGCTGTGTTGTTTTTGTGGCTCATATGTCTTTGTGGTTGTATTGGGCCTATTTTTTTTCCTCACTGACTAGATCCAGTTCTAATATAAAGCTGTGGAGAGGAACCATGAATGTGTGGAGCCGACAGGAGAGACACGGCTCCACAGTCTCTGGGAACAAAACCACAAGAGTCACCACCAGGAGCAACTCTGCCACATCCTGATGTGTACATGTCGGACAACGGCATGGGGTTTTTATGGGCAAACTAAACAACAGTGGTGTAGTGAACAGCCCACCACAGGCTGTTCACTACACCACAGAGTGAGGCCCGGAGGCCCCTGGTCCTAACCTGCAAAATGTCCCTGAAAAAGACACACAAGAACAAAATCAGACCATAAACGACCACAGAGATGCAAAACCACCACAAAGACTCAAGCATTGTACAGACATCTTACTCTGTGCAGAAGGAGACGCACACAGATTCAAGGCGACCAGAAACGACCACAAAGAGACACAGGTAGACCTCAGACAGACTCAAAGCAGAACTCTTAACAAGTCGTGCTAATTTCCACTGTGACACCAAGGTGTACACACAGTCTACGTGTCACAGTGCACACGGACTTCTGTACACACACAAAACAAAGCAAACTAAATGAAAGCCGAGCTGAAGAACAAACAAGGAGGCGTTCAATGCCCTGATGCTCTGACGCGGGCTAAGCCAACCTGCCAGCACCAGCACCTGCACCAACGCGCCGCTTTCTCTCCTCCTCGGCCGCCCCGTCCCGCCCGGGCGGCACTGTTCTCGGCTGTAAATGAAGTTTTTGTGTCGCTCTGCGCGGAGGTCAAAGGTCACACAGCTGTTCAGCTTCACACCAACATCTCTGCAGCGGAAGACAACTTCGCAGTTCAAGCCCCCAGAGCACAAACCGTTTGAACCGAGAACCCGTCACTCACCCTTGCAGCAGCTGCTCCTCTAATCCATCAATTTGATCTGATCTGATCGGGACTGATCAATCCGACAGAAACAGACCGAGTGTGGTTGTGAAACGGTCGGGGATTCACTTGTCCGCCCGCAAACTCAACAAACTGCAGCTGGAAAAAAACACACATGCAGAGATCCGCCTGCGCTGCGTTCACGGACCCGACAAAGCTCCGAATCCATGGAGATGAAAAAAAAAGACCTTTGTTTAATTGTGAACCAACGCGCGTGGCAATAATAGTTTATCAGCTGATCCAAATAAAATTTATCGGCAACTATTTTGATTTAATCTTTTAAGGTAAACGTTTCTCTGTCGTATAAGATGAGAAATGAAATCTTTTGGCGAGTTTGTAGCGTTGATGGAGATAATAAACCAATTAATCGAGAACAGTAATGAAAATAATCAGTTTCAACTATTTCATTGTATTTCCATTTTTCTAAATTTATTTAATTTCCTTCAAGGGGATTGGGTTACTAAACCTTCCATGTACACTCTTAAAAGCGTGTTTTGATAAATGGAAAATGATTTAGGTCAATAACATTTTTGACAAAAACAAATCCAGGTGATTTTAACACATCACAAAATAAAAAATAAATGTAAAAATAATTTCTTTTTCCACAGCACACATTAACTGATCATTATTTTTTTCATAAAGTCTTATATAAAAAAGGAAAGGAAACAAGCATAAAAGCACATTGTTTTCATAATCAAATTATATTAAAAATAATTTAAAATATAACTTACATCCCTCCTTTTTCATAAAACAAACCGATTTAGCAGTTAAGCTTTACTTAGAAAACAAAAGATAAAAGATAAAAATATTTTAGATTAAAAAAAAATGTCTACATATGATTTGATTTAGACTTTTTGCTCAATCCAACAATAACTATAAATTCACCAGAGTCTGATAGTGTAGGTAGGTAGGTAGGTAAGTGCTTTATTGATCCCTCAATTGGGAAATTGCAGTGTTACAGCAGCAATGTTGTAGTGTTTGGCTCATGTTGCTTTTTCCAGACTTCTGTTTCCGTTAGATGAATAGTATTACTACGCGGTACATGCACCTCCATCCGTGAGAGTCAAAACATTTCTTGGAATAAAATCTGCTGCTCAGCCTCCCGTCGTCTTACCCGGTTGTCTGATTTCTCACAGGACCGGAAGGCAACGACTGTCGGATCCAGCGGTGCGACGGCGCCGCCCTGAGGCCAGAGGCAGGAGGAGCTGAGGATCCTCGGGTTTACTCCAGCTGTTAGTGGTGACGCGCATCCTCAGACCCGCGCCCACATCAGAGCCCAGTGAAAAACACAGGTGCTCAGCAGAAGAGAAGAGAGACCCACCAGCAGTAGGGTCCGCAACAGGTATGGCCTCGGTTTACTGGACTGAAAGGCTCATCAGGCAGGTCACCATCCACGTTATCAGTGTAAAGGCTGAACAGGTGAAGGGCACAGTGTAAATAATGTTTGCGTATTACATAATAGGGAAAATTTGTAAAGTGTTTTATTATTTAGAATGTTTCCCTGAAGTCCAGCCTGAACCCGCCTCTCTGCAGGAGAAGGATGATCCAGGTTCTTTGGATCCAAGTTATCCCAGTTCTGAACAACACTGACTGAAGGTTTGGTCACAACCAAGACTGGATCATGCCATCTAATCCGACTGGCCCCAGTGTTTCAGGTCCACAGAGTGAAACTGAAAGGGTGGGGGGGGGGACTAAAACAATCCAAGAACTGTCTAGTTACAGCCAGGTGTCCTGTGGTTTGTTACAGACTCCCAGTGTTTGTTCCCAGACAGCCAGTCAGTGAGCAGCAAGGAAGAGACTCCAAAGAGCTGGACAGCAACCGCAACGCGCCTCAAACATGAACAGCAGCTACAAAGAGACGGGTCTCCTTCAGTCTGGGGTCTGGCCCTCTGTAGGAGGGTGCGGCCCTGTGTCCAGGCCCCGTTGTCCCCTCGTCTGACCAGGGCTGTAGTAGACCTGGACACACAGCCGCTGCTCACTGACAGGGAACAAACAGTGAACTATGGATCAGGTTCAGCCTGTTAGCGACACGAACCAGAACTTTGAACCCGAGTCACGGTCTGACCCTGGAACAGAGCCTGGCCCTGGTGACAAGAGGAGGACTCCCTCTTGTATACCCTCGTCCTGTTCAGGTGTTTGTCGCTCAACCTGGCGGTGGGCGGGCCTTGGAAGGCTGACTCTAAATGCCTTTAGAAACATGGAGCGCAGCCGTGTTTTCTCGTCTTTCTCAACTCTGGGCGGAACCGACAGAAAAGCCCGGTGTTACTTCCACCGCCCAACAACACAGCAAACTTCCTCAAACTTGCTCCACCACTTCCTCCCTGCTCTCGGACTTCTTCCTCTTCACTGGCCCCGCCTGCCCGCCTCACACCGACATTGAGATCCGCTGTCCCTCCCGCACACACATACACCCCCACACCCACGCACTAAGCGAGACTGAGCGGAGCTGTGCGCCCAGGAAGGAAGACTAAAGACCGGTGAGTGTCCGCTCTCCATCGGCCCGGAGCTCCGGGACCGCACTGAGCAGCTGTGTGTGTGTGTGTGTGTGTCCCCAAACATTCAGCACATTATTGATCTCAAATTGAATTCTCGTCAGATGATCGATCGGTTTTCTAGCGGATCAATAACCTCTGTATGTGCGTGTGTGTGTGTGTGTGTGTGTGTGTGTGTGTGTCGCGCCGCTGCAGAGCGACCGCTCACCAGTGTTTCTGTCACTCGCCTATGGCTCTGTCACACTCAGGTTTTCTAGAAGAACATCGCGGTGTTACTGCACAGTTAGGCGAAGCACTCGGTGGTAGTAAGCGAGTAGCAAACAACTCTGACAAGGGGAGTGACCTGTGTATTAACTACAGACGTATTACAGCGAAATTATATTCATTGTGTTCAGACAAATACTACACAGAAACTGTACAGGGACAAAGTGTTTAAAGTGTAGTAATAATATATGAATATTTCAGGTACTATGTCTGAACTTCAGCAGTACTATAATGATCATTTTATTAACTTTTACCGGAGGAATATGATCAGAATAGTGCAGACACTCTGTCAAAGTAAATATGAGAATATCAGAGAATACTACAGAATTTAACAAAACAGAGTACTGGGTATAAAGTGAAACAGTATCTGTAATACTATGGGAATATTATATTGTGTATCAGTATTTCATTAAAATGTTACAAATGCATAAGAGAGCCGAGTGGTAGGTATAAAATGAAATAGCATCTGTGGTAAAACTACAGTAATATTACAGGTACTAAACAACTACAACACTGTAGGATTAATTTTGGAATATCACAGAGTACAGGAGTAAATGTGCTAAGGACTTTATAAACGTTAAGTCCAGATGAAAGTCAGGATGTGAGGGACACGTTATGAGTTATTAGAGAGGAAAGTACATTGAAACAGCAGTAATAGTAGGAATATTAAAGGTATGTTATTAAAACAAATAAAAAGTTAAATACTACTTTGACAGTATTTCAAGTTCTATACCTGAATAAATATGAAGTAAATGTTAAGATATCATTGAAACTCTATGGAAATATTTTAAAGGAAAGTAGTGGGTGTACACTGAAGTAGTATGTCTAATAGTACTAGTCTTGGCAGTGTGTTTAAATGAGTACAACAGTAACAAAACACATGAACCTAGAGGAAATATAAGGAAGAATATGAGTAAATACTACAGGTACACTATGTGGATATAATAGTGGAGAGTAGTGGGAATACACAGAAGTAGTATTTGTAGTGTGATAGTCTGTTGCGCAGGGATGTTTTTAAGTCGTTCAACCTAAAGGTGAGTGAACACAATTGTTCTGGTTTGGTGAACAAACCTCCAGCGGTGTCCAAGGCATCCCAGACTGGGGACGCCGGTACTGGGACCAGCTGCTCATGTTGACACCAACAGCAGGTCAGCGGTAAACAGCTGCTTTACACCTCTGCCTCTGTGGTTCTTTGAGCTGGCGTTCGCCGGGGACCGCTTCACCTCAGCTACAACAAATAAGCCTGATTCGAGTTTAGTCTGAGACGGGGAAAGTTGCATCGAGGACTTCTGAGTCTCTCTGTAGTTTATACTGACTTTCCAATAAGACATGTTAACGGCATGCAGAGGTCTGGTCCCGGCGTCTTGGGTCCACACCTGGTCGGCCCACCTGATAATCCACGACACCAATACGCCGAGGATCACCTGGCTGCTCTGGGAGCAGGGCCAACCAGGTCCCCGATCGCTGAGGGCCAGAACAACACAGTGGTGTGTTACAGGCCTGTACTGTATGATCCCAGGCCAACTCAGGCTGACTAACTGTGTCCTCCTCAAGCCAGTCAACATGACATCACACCGAGTCAGCAGTTGCACGTGCTCAGATGTGTCACAGTCAAGCTGTCCAGCTGTAGGCTGGAAGTCAGAGGGCGCCCAGATACTGCTGACTCACAGCGTACATCACAGTATGACTCGGTTCAGCCTGGTCTACAGCGTTCTGGTGCATGGCGCCTGTTAGCCAACTGTAAACCAGGAGTTCTGTGCTCGCTGTACCAGTGTCTTTACATCAGTGAGAGTCTGGATGACCGCCAGCCTTCAGCTCCTTAAAAGAGGATTCCACCTGACTTACAGTTGTCCTGGTGTAAACTGTGGCTCATCAAACACTTCTCCTGTGCTGGTGGATGAAGAGAGCAGCCACTTCCTGTTTCGGTTTCATCACAGACAAGTTCCTCCTGGCCTGTGCATCTCACTGTGCACTGGGGCGAAGGGGGTGAGTAGACGCTGTGAATGTGGACACAGCTGGAAACAGCAAGTCAGCAACAGGGTGACTACAAACCTCTGTGGACAAGAAAATGAAGGTGAAGAGTTAAAGTAGGACCCAAACAGTCCCAGTGTTCAGACCCACTTCCTGCTTTACCTCTGGCCTGCTTCTCTCACTGTAGTTGTGTGTCACAGTTCACTGAGGGCTGAAGCTTCAGCTGTGCTCGCCTCAGCTCCACCTTCACAGTGGTGTGACCGTCGCTACCAGCTGCAGGTTTAGTTCCAACCCGTCTGTCTGACTGGTCGTGATCCGTAATCTGTGTTACACAGTGGTGTTCGATAACCACTTTCACATATACTGAACGCTGGTGTTGTAGCCCTGGTCTGGCCCAGTGCCCCCCTTCCCCTGCTTTCTCTCCTCGGTTTTCCCACCACCCAGCTGGAGCTCTACACGTACATTTCATTTTCTCATCACTAACGCTGCAGTGATGGGCTGCTCATTGTCAGTCTGCACAGCAGGTTTCTCTTCTATCAGATGGGGCTTTTCAGCCTGTTGAAATCTAGAAAAACTCCACACTGCTCTGAAAATATCCCGTAAACCTTGTAGCCCTAATTTTAGAGATTTTCCCATCTGAGCTCCAGCTGCCGGAGGACTCAGTTCCTCTGTGGGTCCAGAGACTCTTCCTATAAACCACCAAGAAATATACCAATACAGAAAAAGAAGGCAGAGATGCTGACAAGACGAAACCAGCGCTGTTAGTTCCTGAAAACCTGACATGAAAGACCAGAGGTACTGTACCATGGCAGAGACAACAGCTGCAGTGGCCCTGTTAGCGACTGTGGTGCTTTAGATTTAGTTTCACCCAAGAATACAGAAGGCGTGGTGCGACATGATAAAGACTGTTTAAAATCTCAATTTACAGTGCCATGAGAACAGTCAGATCAGAATCCTTGTGGTCATTTTAACGCCTCCTCCTCTGCATATACGGCCTGTCATCATTACTCAGCGTCAGCCCCTCACAGACCGGTAACAGTAAACATGGAGGAGAGTGATGACAGCGACGAGATCAGTAGAGAGACTAGGACGTTTCACCTGTGGCTCACATTTCAGATACATATGTGCAAGTGTGGCAGTTTAGGAGCTCAGTGGTGTTCACACCGGATCCGGGTACATGGCACTGACACACACGGATGGGAAGAAGCGACACACACAGGCCAGATCTAAGCCTTAAGGCCCGATGTGGACGCAGCTATACTGGTCATTTTGTGTGTCTGTAGTTTTGACTTTCCAACTAGAAAACACTTCACACAGAGGTCCAGGGTTCAGGGTCTGTATCTGGTTTAGGACTATGACACAGCAAGCAGACGGTCCAATCAGCTTGGTGCATCTCTACCCTTACCCGTGACTCTGGCAGGAGGCACCAGTTGGGTAAGTCAGATTTTTGTGACCCCTCTGGACCATAGGAGTGATTTCAGACACTGTCAAGTGATTTCAACCCCAACCAGTCGAGGCAGAAGGCTGCCCACCAAGAGCCGAGGTCTATTGGATGGTATGAAGAACACTTGTCAGTGATGGTTTCAGCTGAGTTTTTCAGTGTGACGTCACTGCCATCTGAAACGTACTGACATTCGTGTACACACTCTCCTACCTCAAACCTACATACAACTTATGCTAATGATTAACTGACATTAAAATGAATCTGCAGACAAGTTTGTTTCAGATTCACACTATCTTCACACGCACACTTAGCGGAAGGTTGCTTTTACACAATGAATGTGCTTCAATGCGCCGCAGGTTGCTGCTCTCAGTTCTTCTTCCTCTTTTTTTATCTGTGTGCTTTCTGCTTCACACTCTGCCTGTGGCAGCGCACATCTGTTCTCAGATCTGCAGCTTTCACAGTGCGATGCTGTGTTGGACCATTCCGGTTAGGTCACACTATGCTGGGCCCATAACGAGCCACAGCGCAACCACTGAGTTCACGGCTGCACAATCTGTGGGTGCGCTGTGGGTCCTGGGGGCTTTCTACATGTCTGAGCACAGGGTTCGGTCCTGAGCCGTCCATGCGTACACACAGTGACATCAAGCTGCTGTTGCCGTTTACTGACCAACACGCTTTAATTTTGGAGAAGTGCGTAAAGGAGTCAGGGAATAACACTGGACTGCAGGTGTAGAAACCAGGTGGTGCCATGAGCTGAAACCACAGCCTGCGCAGCACTGTGTGCAGGAAAGAGCAAGTTTCCGAGTTACAACCCGCTGGATAGAGAAATCTGAGCCAGAAAATAAGGAACTGTACATCATATGGAGCAGCTGATGAACAGTTTGTTTCACAGGAAGAAACACAACAACAGTACATGAATGTCTGACATTTTGTCTCCAGTCTTAGTGTTTTTATAAAAATGTATTAGTTTTGATCGTATTGAGTCATTTGTTGTTTCAGTCAACAAAAAGTGAACTAAAAGTTTTTTTTTTCTGCCTTTTGTCGAACTTTCAGTGGCATGTAGACTAGTCTTGTCCTTGAACCGGTGACGTTACTGAAGTACCAACGCTGATTTGCGTGTGATGAAGGCCTTAACATTCAACAGTAACTGGTTCATTTGTCTAGTGACTTGTGCTTTAGTTCCTGTGTGCTGAATGGTCAAACATTTTGTGATACTTCTTAGTTTTCTCATACACAGCCTGTAAAATTGTTGTGCCTAATGTTTTCCGACACCGGTCAGTCCCGCTCCACGTCTGAGTTCCTGCAGTCGTCTTCATTGAAGTCGCTGCTTCATTTCAACATGAAACCACAGTCACATGTTTCTACTGGAAGCTTCCTTTTCTCCAACTACATGTGGGTTACAAAAGGATGTCATTACAACACCTCAACGTCCCCGTCACTCTTCTTCGCTGTCTCTGTTGTATGACTGGGTAAAAATCCTGAACCTCTCCTTTAAAGCCTGGTGTCCCTCCTCCCTCTGGGCCACAGAGCGGTACTGTGTCCATACACCAGTAAACCCAGCAGCGGCCGCACTGCTGTGCTGGCTGACACGTTCCTCTATCGCCATGAACACACCCTGGAGCTGGTTCTGACCCAGTCCCACGCACATACACCGTCCTTCTGCCACAGACGCTCTCTAGAGAACAAATGTAGATTCATCCGCTGCTGAAAATAGTCCCTGACAGATGCACCGTTTGATAAGAACTACAGTGAGCAGCTGCTTTAGGAAATGCTTGAAACTCTATATCTGTGAGGTGTTCTCAAAGAATTACGCTGCCAGTTAAAGGTCTGTTCTCATGGAAGTCAGTAGCAAAGTGCATCTAGGCCTTTGACAGGGAGTGTATGTCTTCAGCAAGAACCAACGAGCCACAGACAGAAGCAGGAAGTCTGGAGGGTTTGAGAGACAGACACATTTAACCCAGGGCGCTTGTCTTGGACTCATTCTCTATAACACAGACTGAAGTGGTGGTTCAAGTAAAGGATGTGAATGTTTTTTCCACCAAAGGTCAGAGGTCACAGTTCTCCTGTATGCACAATATGAAGGCAAAGCTGGAAGCAGTGAAGAACTGTGAGATCAGGGGTTGGAGCTTCCAGCTGGAGTGAGCTCAGCCGCCCTCCACCCAGACAGAGCGGGGGAGGGAGTGGTCGGGGTCCCCAGAGTGTGGGCTGAGCCACTCTCTCTGTCCAGACATCTGGAGGGGGACACTTTCCACACACGGTCCAGCGACGCTGTGTTCATCTAATCACATTTCAGACGTGAGCTTCAAAACCTCTCTTTAGAAAACCAGTGGGTGACATCACAGAGGGTTTGTCCATCTTTTATATACAGCTGATGGGTGACCTGGCAACTCAGACATTACTTCGGGGACTTAAACATTACCTTAGATTCTTAAATATGAAGTGAAATAAACCCTTTTTTAAACTAACAAACAACTTAAACAATAAGGAACCCAGAGGATCTGGAGTCGGTAAGTGAAGTCAGATTTGACCAAATGCTACCGAACCTCATCCCTGTTTGTTGATAGATTTGTGCCTTTAAGACAGATGCAGAAAAGTAAAGCAGGACACAGAGGACAGACCTGGTGACTGTCTGACATGTAAATGGAAATTTAAATGTGTGTAAGACGGTCATACACATTCAAATGTGTCGGAGTGAGGTGTGTGATAGGGCAATATCTCTGTTTTGTTTGGAGCCCACTTCCTCTTGCAGATAATTTCCATACACACAAATAGTGAAGGAGAACAAACTGTCTCTCTCTGCAGACGGACGATGGGACGTCACGTGTCTCTGAACAAACTGTGTTAACTGAAGGAAACTGAAGTGTCTCTGGCAGCAGGAGCAGGACGAGCTAACCAATCAGACGTGAACTCACAGGTAATTTATTCTTATCTGCTCTCTAATCCCCACACGAGGATGACAGAAGATCAGTCCTGAGATCTGTCGTCATATGGACAAAACAGGATCCATGTCATCAGCGCCTGTGTGTGTGTGTTGCAGGTTACTAAAGGCTCAGAGGTCGTCATGCAGTCTGTAAAGTGTGTGGTTGTAGGTGATGGCGCTGTAGGAAAGACCTGCCTCCTCATCTCCTACACCACCGGAGCTTTTCCCAAAGAGTACATCCCCACTGTGTTTGACAACTACAGCAGCCAGGTGTGTGCAGCTCCTCATTCACCTGTCCGCTGGATCATATACCTTGTTCATACATAGTTATTATGTAGCTCGTATGTATCGAGTATCACAGTTTTACACATGCCTTAAATGTCCTGCTTTGTCTATATAAAACTACTGTATTTGAGGCACTTTCACACAAGCAGACCTTTTACTGAAGTCAGAGTAGGAATACCACAGCAAATACTCTGGTACCACTCCAGCTTTCAAAGTTCTACTTATGTAACCGTACAAAAGTATTAGAATCAAAATATATTTACAATAACAGAAGCTCAAGTGCTCATTGTGCTGGATCATATTACCGAATAATAATGACAGGTTCATGTATGGGTCACTTTAATGGGAGTGTGTGAAGGTGGCGGCGGCACTAATTTTATTACTGTAGCTAATTAAATTTAGCTCCACATATAAAGAGAAACCATGGCCACACTTCAGGATGTTACAGTGGAGGTCAGTGTAAAATCCTGTGTACCTGTGTTCAGGTGACTGTGGATGGTAGGATCATCAGCCTGAACCTGTGGGACACGGCGGGTCAGGAGGAGTACGACCGGCTGAGGACGCTGTCCTACCCCCAGACCAACGTCTTCATCATCTGCTTCTCCATCTCGAGCCCGGCTTCCTACGAGAATGTCAAACACAAGTGGCATCCAGAGGTCAGAGGTCAAAGTTCAAGTGTAAAACTAACAATCCAGTGTTGTTTTACTGTTTCCTGTGTTTATGCTAAGCTAGGCTAACTAGCTGCTAGCTGTAGCTTCAGATTTTCTGTGCAGACATTAGTTAATGTAATAAAAGGAGCAGATTTCTCTTGATGGAAAGGATGCAGTTTTGGTTGCGTTAGTAATTGTGCACAAATCCTACCCAAGGACTTAAAGCAACAAGGAATTTGCTCCAAACATTGCTCTGTGCATGAGGAGCTGGTGGAGCAGTGTGAACAGAGCAGAGAGCAGTGACCTGTTCTCAGCCTGTGGAGCCGTTTGTTGGAAACAGATGGCCTCCTGTGTTTCCTGAGAAGGAAACCTGCCCCCCAGTGCAGCAGTGTGGCTCACTGGGGGGCCAACGTAAGTGGTGGACAACAGTGGAGGTCTACAGCACAGAGTGATGAGCCGGACCAGGGTCTGGACTCACACATATTATGGTGAGGCCACCACATTCACTGGTGCTGCTGGTCTCTGGACAGGGTTTGTGGGGAATGACACTGGCTTCTAACAGGCTTCTGGTTCCCAGTTCTTGTAGCTGTCACTCTTTCTTGCTTACTGAACTTCATCATCATCATCAGGTGTCTCACCACTGTCCCGGCGTCCCCATCCTGCTGGTCGGCACAAAAAGCGACCTCCGAAACGATGCAGAGATTCAGAGGAAGCTGAAGGAGCAGAACCAGACGCCAGTCACCCACCAGCAGGGCGCCGCCCTCGCCCGCCAGATCCACGCCATCCGCTACATGGAGTGCTCGGCCCTCAACCAGGACGGCATAAAGGACGTGT